TATTTGTGTTGTACTATTAGTACGCACTATTTTTAAATTGCAGTATTTGTGTTGCACTATTAGTCTGGCACTATTTTTATATTGTAGTATTTGTGTTGCACTATTAGTCTGGCATTTTTTTTATATTGTAGTATTTTTGTTGCACTATTAGTACGCACTATTTTTATATTGTAGTATTTGTACAGCACTATTAGTATAGCACTATTTTTATATTGTAGTATTTGTGTTGCACTATTAGTATGCACTATTTTTATATTATAGTATTTGTGCTGCACTATTAGTACGCACTATTTTTATATTGTAGTATTTGTGTAGCACTATTAGTATGGCACTATTTTTATATTGTAGTATTTGTGTTGCACTATTAGTATGGCACTATTGTTATATTGTAGTATTTGTCTTGCACTATTAGTATGGCACTATTTTTATATTGTAGTACTTGTGCTGCACTATTAGTCTGGCACTATTGTTATATTGTAGTATTTGTGTAGCACTATTTTATATTGTAGTATTTGTGTTGCACTATTAGTATGGCACTATTTTTATATTTTAGTATTTGTGTTGCACTATTAGTAAGCACTATTTTTAAATTGCAGTATTTGTGTTGCACTATTAGTCTGGCACTATTTTTATATTGTAGTATTTGTGTTGCACTATTAGTATGGCACTATTTTTATATTGTAGTATTTGTGTTGCACTATTAGTATGGCACTATTGTTATATTGTAGTATTTGTGTTGTACTATTAGTACGCACTATTTTTAAATTGCAGTATTTGTGTTGCACTATTAGTCTGGCACTATTTTTATATTGTAGTATTTGTGTTGCACTATTAGTCTGGCATTTTTTTTATATTGTAGTATTTTTGTTGCACTATTAGTACGCACTATTTTTATATTGTAGTATTTGTACAGCACTATTAGTATAGCACTATTTTTATATTGTAGTATTTGTGTTGCACTATTAGTATGCACTATTTTTATATTATAGTATTTGTTTTGCACTATTAGTATGCACTATCTTTATATTGTATTTGTGTTGCACTATTAGTCTGGCACTATTTTTATATTGTAGTTTTTGTGTTGCACTATTAGTATGGCACTATTTTCATATTGTAGTATTTGTATAGCATTATTAGATTGGCACTATTTTTATATTGCACAGTTTGTATTGTGCTATTTGGAGTGCTCTTTTTATATGGCAATATTTATTTTGTGCTAAATGTGGTGCACTACTATGATTGTGCTGTTTGTATAATTGTAGAGGTTTCTGTGAAATATTTTACTGCCACAATGTGACAGACCGCCTGGTACCCCGACTGGGTACCTCCGCTAAGCACGCTCCCTAGCTATCGCCAGGACACCATCAGCATTTCAGCTCCTAGCCGCCGCAGCTTGGCCAGGGTCTTGAAGTCGCTTCCCACCCTGGAACATTGTCCTGGATCTAGTTTCTAGTGATTAAAGCTCTCCTGCAGAGAGTATAGCTGTTTAGCTGGTACACACAAACACTATCCCAGGCTGAGTGAAGGATGTAAAGGGACTGGTTTATTATGGTCAAGTTGCCTGCTTTTATACACAGCCCCCAGCATAGGGTCTCCATTCAATACAAGACAAGCCCCTCCCATAGATCTCTGTGTCTGGGAGATAATTACTTTAAAGACTGGTAAGGTAAATATCTCACAGGAACAGAGAGGCAAACACAAAAATGTAAAACATAAAAATACCCCAAAACATCATAAAAATATATAATAACCCCACAAATAATATATACCCAAATAGCCCTGATCTGAGCGCCCAAGTTCTCCAAATAGCACTCAGATCCATGTAGTGTAGATGAAATGCCACTGTGTTAAAGTTCTGACCAGCCGCACATGTGGTCCTATGTCCAAATAGCTCCAGGGCGTTTGGTGCTTTGGCCGGTCAACTATCGGGAGTTCTTGTGTCCGAAATACGTGGTGCTCCGCCTGGCTCTTAGGTAGCATTTGTTCCCTTTAGTCTCGGGCACCTTCCCTCCAAAAAGCGCTCTCCTGGCAGGTCGCAAGTTGTCCTGGAACCGTACGGTCACCTCATGCCGAAAACAGTTCCATAACATTCACAACTAAGTCCCGCTGAGGTGACCAGGGACCCACAAAGTCCTCATGCTGAATTTAATTCCATAACGATCGCTGCTAAGTACCGTTGAGGACCATTAGCTAGAGCTAGAGTTTGGATCTGTTCCAAAAAAAGGAAAGTGCCGAACCAGGGTGTGGCGGACCACCCGGTACCCCGACTGGGTTCCTCTGCCAAACACATTTCCTAGTGATCAACAAGCTACCATAAGCACTTCACAGGACACCATAAGCACTGTAGCCCCTTAGCCGCCGCAGCTTGGCTGGGGTCTGGCCGTCTCCGCCCACCTTGGACCCAAGTGATTGGCTGTATGTGTGTAGGGGAGTGGCTATGGATTTGTAGTGGGGCAGGGATCGTGTGGGGATGGTGCTAGTGATTGGCTGTATGTGTTTAGGGGAGTGGTTATGGGTTTGTAGTGGGGCAGGGATCATCTTACCTCAGTGCCTTTTGGGATTCTGGCCAGCAAACAACTTCCCTCTCACCCACCCTAATTTAATGTTTTTGTTCCGTCACAGCTAGTGGGGAGTGTGTCCTTGCCAACAGGGTTGTGGAGCAGATGGAATGTCAGGAGATGGACAAGGTGGATCTCAACCTCCCCTGCTCTGTAAGGTAAACTTTCAAGTTACTGAATAGGACGTGCCCACCGAGCAAAAAGCCCACTGGTGGTAGAGCATTTAAGATGATGGGAATTTTTGGTTTGGACGAGGGGGGAGGTGAGACACCAGTGGGTAAAGTTTTTTGGTGCATAGGCCATGGATGGTTTTGGTGGGGTCCCCCGCTGATTTTAGACGTAAAACAGCGGGGTAGTGGCCAGGGGTATGTCCTTGCCAATTAAGTTTGAGATGGTTATGTTAATTATGTGTAAGGAAGTGAACAAGTTTTCAGGTCTCAACCTCCCCTGCTCTAAAGGGTTAACCTTAGGTTACCTGTTATGCCATGCCCACCGAGGGTGGATAAGGTTGGCTAGTGGTAAGCATTGGATGGAAAAGGAGTTTATGCCGAGGGAGGAGGTGAGAGGAAGTGGTACATAGGCCCATGGTCAGTTTATTGGCAAGGACGGATGGGTTCACTGTATGACACTATGTGTTAAGTTATATTTTAAGTTATGGTTATTTATATTTTGACCTTTGATTATATCAAAGAAAAGAGAATATTAAAATAAAATATGGATGTGTTATACAGTAATTATCATATGTTATAATAAATGCTGTGGCCTGTTTCATCCATACTATGTTGTCTGTCATTATTTGGGTGAATTTTGTTGGTTTTGTTATTATGCTGCATTGCGATTCCTCACTACGTACATACATGTTTTATTGCTGATGATACTAAGATATGTAACAGGGTTGATGTTCCAGGAGAGATAAGCCAAATGGCAAATGATTTAGGTAAACTAGAAAAATGGATAAATAAAATGAGATGGCTCAGATAGGAAAGACAAAAAATATATTGAATGAATATATTATAATATCACTAAAAATAATGTGGACTGCTTCACAACTAGTATGAGCAACTTGTGTAGATGAAAATTCTAAAAGTATGGTAGTGTGAGCGCTCCAATAGTAAACAATGAAAAAATATATATAATAAAATATAATATGGGCCACTACTCCAGCAGTGAAGGAGTTAACTAGAATCTAATTAGAAACTCTGATCTCCAGACTCCACATAAAGAACACACATTCTGTTGCTTAAAAATGCGGCACACCAAAAAATGCCTTTTTATTCAAAAAAATATAAAACAACTATAACTATGTATTTGTAATAGCTAAATAAAATCCAGCAAGGAGCTTTTTACCTAACAACGCCTAAATGCAGCTAAGCAAGCTTGGTAGTCACTAAATAGCCTTCCCAATCGATGCATAGATTAAAATAGCCAAAGATATTATAAAGGTATAACAATAAACACAGAAAATATATAAAGCTCGAGGTTTCCCAAGAGAGTAAATATAAAGCTCCAGTGAGGGACCCCTCCGCTGTAGTCAATAATTACCCAAAACCTTTTCCAAACGCTAAAATGTGAAAGAGATGAAAATAAATTAAAATGATCAGTGTAATTGAAACAAAGCGATCGGGACAAGGAGCTCGAAAACCCGCCCAGCACATACAGGTACGCTGAGGGTGTTACATAGAAACCTCCATCGGTAACTTACCCTATATGCCACACTGTGTATTGGGTTAGGGGAGCACACCAATGAACCCGTCGAAGACCACGTTGGCTAGCAGAGTTGGAGAGTTGGAGAGAGTCTGGCATCGGGAGCCGCAAGCCAGGCGGTAAAAGTCGAGCTGGAGTCATGCTGGAGAGGCAGTAAAGCGATGAAGCTTGTAATGTGATGAACACGGTCTACGCATTTCGTCTGTATGCCAGACTTTATCAAGACTAGTGTTCATTAGATAATAATGCAGCTTATATACCCATTGCTTAAATGGGTTTATTAAAATCATTCCTTGCATAAATGATCGGACTGTTGATTGTAATCATATATTGCCTTGTTAAACAATGTATAACAGGTATTCAGGAAAATAAACATTCAAATAAAAACATAACCAAATAGTCACAGGGTTGATGTTCCAGGAGGGATAAGCCAAATGGCAAATGATTTAGGTAAACTAGAAAAATGGTCAGAGATGTGGCAGCTGACATCTAATGTGGATAAGTGCAAGATAATGCATCTTGGACGTAAAAACCCAAGAGCAGAGTACAGAATATTTGATAGAGTCCTAACCTCAACATATGAGGAAAGGGATTTAGGGGTGATTATTTCTGATGACTTAAAGGTAAAGGTAAAGACAATGTAATAGAGCAGCAGGAAATGCTAGCAGAATGCTTGGTTGTATAGGGAGAGGTATTAGCAGTAGAAAGAAGGAAGTGCTCATGCCATTGTACAGAACACTGGTGAGACCTCACTTGGAGTATTGTATACAGTACTGGAGACCGTATCTTCAGAAGGATATTGATACCTTAGAGAGGGTTCAGAGAAGGGCTACTAAACTGGTTCATGAATTGCGGGATAAAACTTACCAGGAAAGGTTAAAGGATCTTAACATGTATAGCTTGGAGGAAAGACGAGACAGGGGGGATATGATAGAAACATTTAACCCCTTAAGGACACATGACGGAAATATTCCGTCATGATTCCTTTTTATTTCAGAAGTTGCGTTCTTAAGGGGTTAAATATATAAAGGGAATCCACACAGTAAAGGAGGAAACTATATTTAAAAGAAGAAAAACTACAACAACAAGAGGACATAGTCTTAAATTAGAGGGGCAAAGTTTAAAAATAATCTCCAAAAGTATTACTTTACTGAGAGGGTAGTAGATGCATGGAAAAGCCTTCCAGCTGAAGTGGTAGAGGTTAACACAGAAAAGGAGTTTAAGCATGCGTGGGATAGGCATCCTAACTATAAGATAAGGACAGGGACGAATGAAAGTATTTAAAAAAATTGGGCAGACTAGATGGGCCGAATGGTTCTTATCTGCCGTCACATTCTATGTTCCTATCTGAATTTGCAAGTCTTGAAAAGAGACATTATGCCTTCCCTTTTCACTGTCACATGCAGATATTCCATTGCAGATAACATCAACACATAACTTGTGTTTACCCATCTAACTCGCCTTCTCAATACTAACTCCCTCATTGACCCCCTTCATTCTGCTCCTTCCATTCTACTGAAACTGCCCTTACTAAAGAGACCAACAACTTAATCACTGCTAAATTCTATTCCAAAGGTCATGACATTATTGCACAGTCGTTATTCGGCATGTGCCAACCATACTTTAATAACACGCAGACACAGAAAATTCTGTTGGAGTATAAAGTCCACAGCTTTATTAATTAATATCAATATATAAATTAACAATTTAGGGTCATTGTCAACAGTACTCCTTCGTTAGGCTCTCTTCCAATATCATACCCCCGACAATGACCCTACCAAAACAAACATTAGCATAACCAATAATACATACACGTAACTCAACGGCCTTCCAAGAGGCCCCACCTCCATTTGTCTAACTGCAGGGGTGTACCCAGACACCCCTACACCCCTTGTTTCGTAGCCACCGACGGGCTCGAACCTACCTCCATACTTTTGACTTCCGGCCTACTCCAGCCTAGACCTTGGCCTACCAATTTCTTAACCCACCAAAATTCCAGTTTAACCAAACCTTTTCCCGCCGCTGTGACCAAACGGGAACTACTACTAACTCATAGGGTGGGTGGGAGGGACAATTTACAGGTAAGAAAGGCTCAAGTTAGACTGAACTTACCCTAAAATGGCCGCTATTTAACTTCCCTTCTAGCCCACGCCCCCCAGCACAATCACAGGACAGCCTCTTGACCTGAACTTCACCCTGCCTACTCCTGGCTCTGTCAAGGCCCACTCCTCCCTGCGTTGCTCCGTGGTTTCAATACTCTCTCTTAATTATCCTCACTCTGTGCTGCCTTTGATACTGTTGACCAGTGTGTACCTCTTCGAATCCTCCACAACCTTGGACTTCATGACACTGTACATGCTTTGTTTTCATCCCATCTTTCTAAATCCTCATTTAGTGTCTCTTTCTCTGGTGCCACTTCCTCTCTGCTACATGTCTTTGTTTGTGTTCCCCAAGGATCTGTTCCTGGTCCTCTTTTAAACTCCATCTACATTGCCTCTCTCAGTAACCTTATTAATTCTTTTGGATTTCAATACCATCTACATTCTGACAATACTCAGCAAATAGTCTTCCTTTATGTATCTCTCTACGTGTTAATAGGACACCTATCACCCCACCTCCTCAAGCTTGCTGCCTTGGAGTTACGTTTGACTCAGGTCTTACCTTTTCTCCTCACATCCAGTGTGTCTCCAGATCCTATAACATTCACTTCAAACATATTGCCTGCAATTTCCCTTTTCTAACTCAGTATACAAGCAAGGCATTTTTTTCATGTGATCATCATTTACCAACTTGACTATTTCAACTATTTGGCCTTACTAACACTTGCATTGCCCCTCTCCTGTCTGTTATAAATGCTACCGCATTTAGGAACACTATAGAGTCAGGAACATAAGTGTGTATTACTGACCCTATAGTGTTAAAATCACCATCAAGGTGGCTTTGTCCTGTTAAGCCGCTTAAAAGGTAGGAAAACTTACCATATTTCCAGTGCCGCACTGGTCTGCCGACTTTGGCCCTGCCCCTGACCCGCCTCCTTGTTGACACTGTTAGCATTTAGGATTTTTAATCGATCCAATGCTTTCCTATAGGAAAAGCATTGGATTGAGTGAAATTGGCAAGGAGGCGGCTCCAAACACAGTCATGGCCAATCAGCAAATCAATCAATGCATCTCTATGAGGAAAATTCTGTGTCTCCATGCTCTCTGAACTGTGCAGCACTGCCCCAGGAAGCACCTCCAGTGGCCATCTGAGAAGTGGCCACTAAGGGTGTCCCTAGGGGGGAATGTAAACATTGCCCTTTCTCTGAAAAGGCTGTGTTTACATGAAAATGCTTGAAGGTAATAATTATACGCTGCAGAACAACTAAATTACGTTGTAGCTACAAAGCCATCATTAAAACCATCCCTTACTACATTTCCTCTTTACTCAACAAATAAACCCCTTCTCATATCCTTCACTCTACGGCTCAATGATGTTCAGGTCAGGAGACTGTGATGGTCACTCCAGAACCTCCACCTTTTTCTGCTGTAACCACTGGAAGGTCAACTTGGCCTTGTGCTTAGGGTCATTGTCATGCTGGAAACTCCAAGAGTGCCCCATGTGCATCCTTCATGCAGAAGAATGCAAATTGTCTGCCAGTATTTTCTGATAACATGCTGCATTCATCTTGCCTTCAATTTTAACAAGATTCCATGTGTCTTTAGAGCTCACACCCCCCGAAAACATCAGTGAGCCACCACCATGCTTCACAGCGGGGATGGTATTCTTTTGACTATAGGTCTTGTTGACCCCTCTCCAAACATAGCGCTTATGGGTGTGACCATAAAGCTCTATTTTGTTCTTGTTACTCCAAATTACAGTGTGCCAGAAGCTGTGAAGCATGTCAAGGTGTTGTCTGCATATTTTAACTGGGCTTTTTTGTGACATTGGTGAAGTAAAGGCTTCTGTCTTGCAACTTGAATATGCAGCTCATTTTTGTTCAAGTATCGTTGTACTGTGCTCCTTGAAACCACCACATTGCCCTTTTGAGGAGCAGCCTGTATTTCTCCTGAGGTTATCTGTGGGTTTTTCTTTGTATCACGAACAATTCTTCTGACAGTTGTGACTGAAATCTTTCTTGGTCTACCTGACCTTGACTTGGAGATCCCTGGATTTTCCACTTCTTAATAAATGATTAAACAGTACTGACTGGCATTTTCAAGGCATTGGATATTTTTTTATATCCTTTTCCATCTTTATAAAGTTCCATTACCTTGTTACGCAGGTAATTGGACAGTTCTTTCCTGCTCCCCATGGCTCCGTATCTTGCCTGCTCAGTGCATCCAAGTGAGAGCTAACAAACTCATTGACTATTTACTCACAGACACTAATTGCAATTTTAAAAGCCACTGCTGTGGGAAATTAACCTTTAATTGCCATTTTAACCTCTGTGTGTGTGTGTCACCTTATGTGCATGTAACAAGGCCAAACATTCAAGGGTATGAAAACTTTTAAAGGCCAAGTGATAATAAATGGCTTCATATGATCACTATCGTTCAATAAAAGACATTATTTTGCATGATCAGTCATATTTTCAAAATCAATGCCAAAATGTCACAAAATCTGCCAGAGTATGCAAATTTATTAGCACAACTGTAGTTCTTTGTCCTCATCCATGACGATAATGTGTTTTCAGCTCTCTTCTGTTTTTCTCTTGGATATTCCGAACATCTAGCAAATAATTTTTCAGTGCTAAAAACAGAGAAAATAGAAGAAACTGCCATTGTAACAATCAAAACAAGAATAAATGAGGTTAAAGTAAATCAGTCTGGGATACAATAAGTTATGCTGTAATGAAAGAGCATAAATCATTGATACATTGTGCTATGGTCTTTGTATTATCTAGACTACATCTACTGTCAGATAGCAGAAAGTCAGTTCAGAAAGGTAAACTTGTACGAGTTGGTTTAGTGGAAATTTAAAGAATTTGACAATTTAAGGTTTTTTTAATATTAATGTCCAGGTGTAGCCCTAGCATTGTATGTTCATTAATTTTATGTTCATAAATAATAGTATTACCCTTAGTGTATTGCAGCAAACAACGGCTCTTGATCCTTTCCATCCTCACTGAATATCTCACCCGGCAAAGGGAGGTATCGGCTCTTCAGACTATTCATTGCTGGACTCCGTGGCATCACATGGACCATCCATTGGTTAGTTTCCATCTCCTTCAATCACCATAATACGTCTGTAAGCAAGGTATGAGATGTGTCTGTGAGATGATGGAATATTACATAGACACTAAGTGCTTTGTGATTGGTGCAGGATTATAAACTGAACATATTGGGTTATTACTGTTAAACTGCTTTTATTAAGAGTTTGAGAACAATTGACCAGAGGGAAAATTCTGAGATTCAAAAATCACTAAGACTTAGTTATTAGTACAAAACTCACAATATTTTATGGAATTCTCATTCTGTAATTTTCCCATCTCACTCCGCAGCAGGACGTATTGTGCCATCAAGGTCTTCGTTGCTGGATACTGTGGAACCGGAGGGATCTTCTGTTGGTTCTTGTCCTTTTTCTTCCATCTCAGTATACACCTGTTTGCAAGTACATTTTTAAATATGTCTTTGAAATGATGTAATACTTTGTTTATACTGTTTGTCTTACGATCGGTGTAAAACGATAAATTGATGACAATGAAACAGTATTTTCATATATCGGTAAGTATGTCACAAGTTGTAGACCGATTGAGAACAATTAGGTGCTTAATCAATGGAACTAGAATGATAATTTTAAAAACATTAAATAAAACATAATTGATGTTTACTTACTCTCCCATTGATAATTGTTTTATTTATTTTCACTGGTTCATACATTTGAAGGAATTACCCAGATGGATCTAACTAATGTTATCAATACACAATGAAGAAGATTATAAATATCTGTGAGATGATACATCTACCCCTCATCTACCCAACATAACCATCACTCCCTCTTTAAACCCTAAACCATAAATACCCCAGGATGGCCCATTCCCATTTGCTATGGGTGATAGAGCAGTCTATATACGTGTTCTAGACTCAATGTGCTCTCAGACAGGTGGAAACATGTATAGAAAGATAGTTATTGAAGGACCTGTTCAGCTAGAAATGGCAAACATTTGAGGATTATTATTTTCTAATCTTTTTATCCAATTTCAAAACCAAATGTATGGGTCCTTTCCTTTTATATCCAAAAACAAGAGCTATAAATTCATATTGTTACAGTAAATAACCGACCCTCTGCGTTATTAATATCTCACCTGTCAGCAGGGGAAGGCTGGCAGCCTTAGGCCTGGGGGGGCAAAACCAGTCAAGTGGCCCATTGCACCACCAAATCAGTTCACCATCCATGCCCACCTTTTCCTGGTTTTATAACAGATATTGATGTTATGCTAATCAGTAGCTCTTTGCTATACCCGCTCCTTCACGGCTCTGACTTTCAATGTTGTCAGAGCGCAGGCTGAGAATCTAACTAACTGAGCGCCGGAACCACGATGGAGAGGATATAATCTGACTGCACCTACTGCTGGTGCACACCAGTGGACCACCAGTGAATCGTTTAAATTGAATATGCTGGTGTCCCCAACTTGCGAGCTGTGTTGCCCGCCGGGTGCCTCTGTTGTCATGGCACCCTGCATGACCGCACAGCTTGCACACCCCAACAGCTGGCCCTGCTGACACACACTGGCACTCACTCTCAATAACACACACAAACCCTGACAGATAAACACACTTGCTGACACACACACCTACTGAAGGACACACAAATACTGGCAGATACACTCTCACTGACAGACACACTTTCACTCACTGACAGACACAGAGACTTACAGTCTTGCACACACACTCACAAAATTAATTTTATTGCTTGTTGCTCCTACCTTTAGGAGTCCTCTGGGTCCTCTCCCAGTGGCCAGGGCTGGAGTAGGACAATTTTGCACCCTAGGCAAGACCAGCTTCTTGCATCCCCCCCACCCAAAATAAAAATGGCCAACTTTGTGCATTACTTCCTCTCTCAACTCCTTTGTGTGTCTCTCTCCCCATCCTCTCTGGGTATCTCTTCCTCCCTCACAGACTCTCTGTGGGTCTTTTTGTCATCGTCCACACCCCTCGGTGGGTCTTCTTGTTCCTCAGAACTCTCAGGTGTGTGTCTTTGCCCCCCCAAGTCCCATCTGTGTATGTGTCTTTGTTGTAAGATTAAATTATGCCTCCTCTCTCTCTCTCTCCCATGCGCTGCTCTGTAGGCTGGGAGGAAGTGAAGAGTAATCACATTCTCACAGCACCACCTGTGGCTGCATGGGGAACAGCTGGTTAATGTAATGCTTGCAGGACGGCCAGCTGCCGCAGAACCTCTTTGTTCCCATCTCTGCAAGGGTCTCCAGGCACTGCCTGCTGTGAGTGTGAGCCACTGTAAATTAGGGGCAGAGGGCACTTGCACTGCGGTAAAGACGGGTCTGGGCAGGAGGAGAGTGCTGTGCAATCAGTGCACTCCCCTCACCAGTAGACTGGTGCACCTGCACAGAATCAGAGCCGGTGCAAGGATTTTTGCCGCCCTAGGCAAAAGAAAAATTTGCCGCCCCCCCATGTGACATCACAATGCCCCACCCATATGATCTGCCATATGAACTAACGCCAGTGCAGCACACAGCATGTGTTTACATTAAAAAGCCTTCAGGGACCGCTATAGACACCAAAACCACTTCATTAAGCTGAAGTGGTTCTGGGGACTATAGTGTCCCTTTAATGTGAGGTAAATTATAGATTAGTGTCACTAATAATATACTAGATTGCCTACTTACAACCAGATGACGATGGTGATGGGCTGCAGTTTGGCTTCTCTGGTCTGGTGTAGAACAGGATCTCTGGAGGCTGTTTGCAACTGCGGTCACAAAATTCAATGTGTAGGGGATGTGTTATTGTAGGGGATCTAATATGTGTTCTTATGGTATGTAGTGTATAGAGATACCAGTTTGTGTAGGTGTTGCAGTGTGTCTATATGTAGTGGCAGCAGTGTGTGTTTGTGTATAAGGGATGTATTGTGTGTTTCTGTGTATGTGTGCAAAGGATGCATTGTCTTTGTGTGTAAGGGCTGCATTGGGTGTGTGTGTGTGTGTGTGTGTGTGTAATGGATGCATTGTGTGTTTCTCTGTTTGTAAGGGAAGCATGTTGTGTTTCTGTGTGTAGGGATGCATTGTGTGTTTCCGTGTATGTATAGGGATGCATTGAGTGTGTGCGTGTAGTGTGAAAGAGCTCCCTGTCCTGCCCCCTGTCATTTAAATCTCTCCCTTCTGTCCCTTAGAGCTCTCCCCTACCCCTTAGTGGTCTCTCCTCTCCCCCAGCGGTCTCTTCTCACACCCACCCTCCCTGTGCTCTTCTCATCGCCCCAACCCTCCACCCTCCCTGTGTTATCCTCACCCCCCTCCAATCTTTCTGTGTTCTCCTCACCCTCTTCCCCCCGTGTTCTCCTCACCCACCTCCCCACCGTGTTCTCCTCACTCTCTCTCCCCCTCATGTTCTCCTCACTCTCCCCCTCATGTTCTCCTCACACTCCACCCATGTTCTCCTCACTCTCCCCCGTGTTCTCCTCAATCTCCCCCGTGTTCTCCTCACCCCTCCCTGTGTTCTTCTTACTCTCCCCCTCCTCTCTGTGTTCTTCTTACTCTCCCCCCTCCTCTCTGTTTTCTTCTTACTCTCCCCCCTCCTCTCTCTGTTCTTCTTACTCTCCCCCCTCCTCTCTGTGTTCTTCTTACTCTCCCCCCTCCACCCTCCCTGTGTTCTTCTCACTCTCCCCTCGTGTTCTTCTCACTCTCCCCTTCGTGGTTCTCAGTCTCCCCATGTTTCCTCTCTCACCCTCCCTGTGTTCTTTCTTACTCTCCCTCCCTCCCTGTGTTCTCCTTACTTCCTCCCTGTGTTCTCTCTACTCCTCCCTCCTCCCTGTGTTCTTCCTACTCTCCCCCTCCTCCCTGTGTTTTCCTACTCTCTCCTCCCTGTGTTCTCCTCTTACTCCCTCCCTGTGTTCTTCCTTACTCTCCCTCCTCCCTGTGTTCTTTCCTACTCTCCCTCCTGTTGTGTTCTTACTTCCCTCCTCCCTGTGTTCTCCTTACGCCCTCCTGTGTTCTTACCCTCCTCCCTGTGTTCTTCTAACCCCCCCTGTTCGTCTAACTTCCCCCCCGTTCTTCTTACTCCCTCTCCTCCTCCCTGTGTTCTTCTTAACCCCCTCTTTCCCCCCCGTTTTTTCTTAACCCCCCTATTCTTCTTTACAGACAGCTGCAGCATTAGGATCGGCCCTGCAGCAGCTGGTTTTAAAATGATTTAGGGTGCTCTGTGGGGAATTACTGGGTCATCTTGTGTTTCATTTTTCATTTCTGCCTATACAGATGTTTCAACCTTTATCTCTTTTACTTCTGGCTCCTCCAAACAGCTGTTCGAATAAGAATATAAGTATCTGTGAGATCACACATTTCTATTTTTAACAGTTCTTATATAACACTCTAATCCAAAATGATTTACAATTAATAAAAAGTGACAATGGTAATTATACAAACAGGGGATACATAATTAGACAAAGTGAAACAATAGGAGAGCAGATGTAAGGAGAAATACAGGTTTAAAGTAACAGAAATGTAGCTGTGATTGTGCTATGATAAGGAATACTGGCTTACACAGTGAGTATGATGGAGATATAAATTAGATACAATGCGTACAATCACTATGCACTGAGTGTGGGTAAAGTAGAAGATAATGAGTGTAGAGAAAGTAAAATATAATAAAAGATACAAAACGTTAGGAGGTCGGGAGGAAGCCTTACTCAGAGAGCAGAAACCTGCAGGGAAAGGAAGTTGATGCTAAAGGAAACAATGTGTAAGGATGTATAAGGTTTGTCATAGTTAGAAAGTCCTACAATGGATGGAATAATTGAGAGTACGATAGAGATAGGACATAGTAGATGCGACAGATGCATTGCTAATTCAGAGTATAGATACAAAGCAATTCATGGAATTATCTCAATACCAGCAAACTATGAAAAAGTAACAGAGCGTGATCCAAACGAGTTCCTCAGAGCAGCATATGTCGAATTTCTTTTTCTCTGTGCTACAATGAGAAAGGAAGCAGTGTTATATAAACTTAATAGCGGGAAGGAAGGGAAGACATAATCAGTATAACTGGTGAGAGGATAATATAACACGGGAATATATTGGGCCAGAAACAGACAGGTTTGCTAATAAATTATGCCAGAGTAAACCGTAACAATGTTTTATAATAGCTAGAGAAAATCCTAGAATGGATAAAAGGATTATTTACACTATAGAATATCATCCAATTACACGTCCAGCTTTGAGAGCATTATTTCCTTATATGTTTATGAAGAAGAGAGATGGCCACAATATATTAGTATAAATTAGCATTCTTTTTATATCCATAAATAAAGTTCAGTTTATTTCAGTAATTACTCACCCCCCCTCAGCTTCGCTAACATCTCCTCTAACAGAGGGAATTACAGGGCAATGAGCTTTCATTTCTGCGTCCCCAGATGGTACACCATTCCCCTTTTTGGCTGGTTCTTCCAGCGTCTCAATACAGCTGTTTGTAAAAGATTATAATATATGCAAGATCATATATTTCTGTATTCACACAATAGAATTCCATTGATAGTAATGCTACAAAGTACCAGGGGTGGAGCATCGGGGCAAGTTCTCCCCTCAGAATGGCAGAGTATGGGGGTATGAATGGGAGGGTACACTAGTTATGTTTGGAGAGGAAAGAAGGAAATTTACGGACTAACATCTCACCTGTTAGGGGGAATTACTGGGGACTGGTCGATTGGTTCTTCCACCACCTCTTTTGTTGCTTCATTTATGAACTGAATCCACCTGTTTGTAAAGAGATTATAAATAGTAAATATTTATATATATTATTTGCTGCCTGATCAATGTAGGATTATGAACTAAATATATTATTAGGATATTATATACCCGTTTTGTATATACGATATTAAATGTAAACCCAATGACAGCAATTGAGCCTTTAAACATTGGATACAAATTAGTAAATGATCTAAAAGTGATTGTCTGTCATTCTTACTTATTTTTCTCGGAGGTCGATGCTGTTATGAATTCATACAGCTGGGGTGACTGTAGTGATGTATCCATTACAAAGAATGCTCTCTGATCTGTAGGAATAAACACAGGATTCCAGAAGAATAATTAAAATAGTAGATTGAAAGGTCAATAGAGCATCAAATAACACTATGTCCTTTGGATTGTGAGTGCTGATAATGGTACACTAGGTATACATTCTGTTTGTTATCATTACCCCCAACGTTTTTTTGTTTGTTTTTTGTTTCTCATTTCAGACGTGTGCCTTCAGACCGTTATAGCTGTTGCTTATATAGTTGAGGCATTAATACCCTTGTCATCATTAATATCTCCTCTCCTCTTTGCCCTTAAGTCTCGTCCTATCTTAATCTTCCCCAATATTTATTTATTCACGTTTGTAGATAGGAAAAAACTAAAGTAAACAATGAGAAAGCTAAAGTTTACCTGTCTATCCCTCCCCCCCGAACCCTTCCCCCCTCCCCCCTCCCCCCTGAAACCTCCCCAACCCTTTTCTTAGACCCTATTAGAGATCTTATTTATTTTAATCTTTCTTTCTTTGCTTATTTTTGGAGAGAGAGAGCACACCCCGTGCCTACTATGTTATAGTTGATTTTGTGATTCCATTTGTTTCCCCATTTTCTGGGATTGATTTTTCTCTATTCTATCCTGCTCCCCCCCTCCTCTCCCCTCTTTATAACAGGAAATTGACATATGCACATAGTAACTATTCAGAGAAGATGGAAGAAGAAGAAAGGAGAATAGGGATATTATTTTCCTTGTGTTTTATTATTAATTGGAAAAACTTTTAACCATAATGGAATGATTATTAAGTTAGTGTTTCCATTTTCTTTATCCAATTATCCCAGTCTTCTATCTGGGTATATCTGCTACCTAAGTTCATTAAGATGCCCTTTTCCATTTTTACCTGCCATGTGATTTGTGATATTGCTTCTTGGGTACATAACATTTTCCCTGTTTTCCAGTTTCGTGCTAAAAATAATTTAGCTGTGGTAATAATGTGTATCGTTAACACTAATACTTTTGTCACTTTTGGCCAATCAAAGTTTAACATAACCACTTCAGGCTTAAAAACTAATTTTGTTTCAGTTATTTGATATATTACATATCTTCATCATCTTCCGGCGCCGGCATCCCTACGCGGCGCGCGAGGGAGCTGAAGAGGAAGCACTCAGAGCAGAGTGCTCCCTCGCGCGCCGGCCAGCCAGCCCGCCAGCCAGCCCAGCAGCACCACTGGACCCCAGGGAATCCCCCCAGCACTCCAAAAGGTAAGGAGGCTGGGGGGATTATATATTTATTTTTTTTAAAACATGTGTGAGTGTTAGTGTGTGAGTGTTAGAGTGTGTGTTAGAGTGTTAGTGTTAGAGTGTGTGTGAGTGTTAGAGTGAGTGTTAGAGTGTTAGTGTTAGAGTGAGTGTTAGAGTGTGTGTGAGTGTTAGAGTGAGTGTTAGAGTGTTAGTGTTAGAGTGTGTGTGAGTGTTAGAGTGAGTGTTAGAGTGTTAGAGTGAGTGTTAGAGTGAGTGTTAGTGTGAGTGTTAGTGTGAGTGTTAGAGTGTGTGTGAGTGTTAGAGTGAGTGTTAGTGTGTGTCTGCTAGTGAGTGTTAGTGTGAGTGAGTGTTAGTGTGTGTGTCTGCTAGTGAGTGTTTTTGTGTGTTACTGTGTGTGTCTTACTGAGTGTGTGTGTGTTAGTGAGTCTGTTTGATGTCTGTTAGTGAGTTTGTGTTTGTCAATGAGAGTGTATGTTTTGTAAGTGAGTGTGAATGTATCTGTCGCTGAGTGTGTCTCTGTCAGTAAATGTGTGTGTCTGTTAGCTAGTGTGTATGCGTCTGTAAGTGAGTGTGTGTCTTCAGCACTTACCTTTCTCCAGCGCCGGACTCCCTTGGCGCTGGGGATCCCTCAGCCTCTCAGCTCCGAATGCGACCGCGCACGCATTCAAACCGCCCAGAGGAAAGCATTACTCAATGCTTTCCTATGGACATTCAGTGTGCTCCTCTAGCGGCTGTCAGTGAGACAGCCACTAGAGGCTGGATTAACCCTCAGTGAAACAGCAGTTTCTCTGAAACTGCTATGTTTTCAGCTGCAGGGTTAAAACTAGAGGGACCTGACACCCAGACAACTTCATTGAGCTGATGTGATCTGGGTGTCTGTAGTGGTCCTTTAAGTGTGTGTGCATCTGCATGCACTGGCTTACATACCGCGGTCGCAGGGGTCGCAGCCCTGTAACCCCTGCGACCAGGTGCCCACCGCCATGTGTTGCGGCCCGGCCCGCGCGCGGGGGGGGAGAGGGGGCCACGGATCAATTTTCGCACCGGGGCCCCGTGGGTCATGTGTACGCCACTGTTTAACATGCAGTAATCTACATTTTGGTATGACTGCAGGCAGGCCTTATCACTCCTCAGCTTCTATTAAGATAGATGTGAATTCCTATCATCACATGCAGAAAGAGTTACATCTATTGTTCTACATTCACAGTCATTGTCTCATCCTATTTTTTATTTCTATATTCACAGACTTAATCCCATTCCAGGAGAGAGTGACTAGTTACCTGTTGCCACAGGGCGGACTAACAGATTGTTCAGCTTGATGACAGGACTGAACACTTTCTTTGTCTTGGTGTTGGGATCCCTTTCTTTTTTACATTTCAGAACCAATTTATTTTTCTTCTTTCGTAGAAGAACAAGCAGGTCTTCTAATAGCAGAGCTTGTAACTCTGCAAGAAACAATGAGTTTGGGGTTAAATCAATGACAACAGGAAGCAAATATAAACTAATCGTTTTAGTCACTTACTTCTAATATTACTAATAAATTAACACTATTCATATTTCAAATTAAATAATAATTATAAAATATAAACATTTTATCTGAATAAACAGAATTAAAAAAACAAATAGCTTATCAAATAATATGTGGCAAATGTAAAACTGCAAATGTATGAATTAAAATGCACATTTAATATTTTGTGGTAGATGTTTTTTGTCAAAACAATTTGACAAGATTATTATAGAGAAAATATTTTAACAACATATTTTACCAGATCAGGAATTGTATAAAACACGTGTGGTACAGATAACTGAATTTACAACATAAAATGCTAATTCAAGCTAAAATAGCCAAATCAGCTCTAAAATTACCAAATCAGCTCTTTTTGACTACATTTTGCAATAAGGTTTTCAATTCTCTTCAGTTTGGGGTTTATTGAAAGCTGCATATTTTTTGAACTGTCTACTATATAGTGTTACTATTGCACAAGTAGATTCGTCTTTCAATCTTTGTACATACCAGTTGTTTTGTTGTGCGATCTTTTCCACGTTACCATTCCTGCATGGAGTAAATGTTTGTTAGTGAGGTCCAAGTGCTGTGGATATAAGAAAAAATTGTCTGTGTTACTGATTTGATAAACATTATAAAAGCGATATATATATATATATATTGTGCAGTTCCAGTTATGAGCACTAGAGACGCCATGGCCATCTATTTCCACACACTGTCTACACGTTGTTTGTGAAGACCTTTTCATGTAAGTTATTATATTTAATTATATTAAATCATATTTGACCCATGAGTGGGTAGGCAAGAGGGGCAATTGGCCCCTGGGCCACTAGCATACAGGGGTTGTGGACTGCTAATTGGGATTTTTGTTGAAGGAAGATAGCAGGAGTGAGGCAGCAGACAGGATTTGTACGAGATCTTTGGTAGTCACGGACTGTATGGGTATGTGCACGGTCTAGTCACCCGCGATCTCTATGCTCTCGTGACCCGGACTGGATAATTAGGATATTTCCTGAAGGATTGCAATATCTGGGGTTGGCTAGGCTGCCAGACTGTGATGGAGGTGTTTATTAGTGACCAGGTGAGATAGCGCTCAGTACATGCATAACACCTGCCAGCTATAATTGTAATAGAAAGAAACAGAGTATGCGTCTCCTAGACACTCAGATTTCTGTGAATGATCCATCATACTGTGCAGGTCATACTGATGAAGATTACAGGAATAGATTATGTCATGCCTTACAACTCCAACAACCTCCATCTGTCAGTTCTGTAGACAAACTGCACGGTGTGAGACCATCCATGCAGAGATCTGCGAGTTTTGTGTGCAGTAAAAGCCCAATCATTATACCCCTGCCCCCTGGGTTAATAGTTGCCATCCTGCTTACTTGAATTATAGAGTATAATATCCCCTCCCACGCTTACTGCAAACTCTGCTACTGTAGGATTCTTGCTCTTTTTCAGAGCCGTTGTATCCAGATGTGTTTGTATATGTGCCAGGGTTTGTTTATTCTCGATCATAGCTATTGATCCATTTACATCTTTCAATATAGCGCGGCACCGTTCCAGGCAAAGACGTAGGGCTTTCATTTCATTTGTTCCATCTGTAAGAAGATAAATTATAGAATCTCTCAGATGATTTGTGAAATGTAGAGATGCTGGTTTATAAGAAAATCCTCAAACATTTACAGTGGTCTCTATTACAAAGAGTACCCTGGAGTATGATAACCCAGTAAATAAGGTTCCATGAGAGGTATTATGGGAAGACCATAGACAGTACATGGATATTGATGGAATATGAGTAAGCTCATTGGAGCAGAGCCCCCAGCACATTCTGTTCCTGTGCGTCCAACTTGTCTTGTTTCAACAGTTTTTTGTTAGTTCACCTATTCTGCAGCGCTGCAGAATTTATTGTTGCTTTATAAATTATAATAATTATAAAAATCTGAGTAATGGTTAACATCTAACGATGCCTCTAATGGAAAGATGTTGGTGACATTTTATTAGGGCAATGTGAAAGGGATTGTCAGAGATGAAAGTTAGCAGATAATAGATGTTCTCACCTTCTGTGTGTTTAATGATATTCTCCAATTGCAGAGGATACTTGGTAACATGCTGCATCTCACACACAAGCAGGTCTTCAAGCAGGAGTTTCCTACAGTCAGGGTCACTCTCTGCATGCTGTGTTTAATGGACGAGAAAGAACAGGTGCACAAGAAATATAAATATAGAAAAAAAAGAAAAATATTGCAATTAGAACACAGAATAATAAAATCTACCAGTATGGCTTTAAAATAGAAGGTGAGAATTAAAGATATTTTTAAAATGCATGCACGAAAAAAAGATAAACATATTGCAGCAAACTAATAAAAATGTATAATGAGTTTTATTCAGCCTTCAAACCCTTGTGGTTTGATGAAAACACCTTAGGGCAGGCTTCCCCAAACTCCGGCCCTCTAGATATTGCTGAACTACAACTCCCATGATTCTATGAATTAAATAGATAGGCTGAGATTCATGGGAGTTGTAGTTCAGCAACATCTGGAGGGCCGGAGTTTGGGGAAGCCTGCTTTAGGGTGTCAAAACATTGTCATGTTATAGGTTTGTTGGGTGAATAAAACTCCACTGACATTACAAATCACTGTGCTGGGGACATTTACCGGTATCGTCTAGTGAAGTTGGGGACATATTAGGAAATATGTAACATTACAAAACCTACAGCACTGTATATTACTGACTTGTCAATGGACAGAAAACACCAGGGTTTAAATCCTGCAGGAAAGGAGGGAAGGTGTAAGGTAAAACATAGAGGGAGCGCTCTATGTGGTGGTAGGCACAGTACCTTCATAGCGCTCCTGAACTTGGTGTTCTTGCGCTTTTTGGTCTTAATCAGTTCTAGTGCAGATCTCTGGTTACAGCAATACTTCACTGTTTCTTTTACAATGTCATCTGCAGCTCTTTCAAACTAAACAACCCAGACAAACATGAATTAGTGTGGTGTTAACACAGAGAAAGAATAAGAGAGCAACAAAGAAGAGTTTGTTTTATAACGTCCCTTTTGTTCTGAAGGGTCTGCTGCTAAGGACAATAAATAAACATTCCTTCACGTAAAAAAAAGAGTTATCGAAATACTAAGGGATAGGGTCCACAACATGTGACAGCCAGTAGAGGTGTGCACATAGAATCTACCTCCAGTCTCTGCATTGTACACACCTGAGTGTATTCATTCTCCTTACAGTCTCTTAGTGCAGCTCAGACCCAATAGCATACAGTAGGATTGGAGGACACAGAGACTTAGCGTCATATCAAGCCTCTCTATCCACTCTCCTAGCATGCTCACCTTGTGCCAGGTTCTCACCTGATCATTCTAAAATTCAGGCTGATGGCAACTACTGGAATGCAAAAAGGTGGTAGGGGCGTTGCAGAGATAAAAGGGACTAGTAGAGACATGAAAAGGGCATTAGATAGTTTAGGGAGAAACACACAAGGAGGTGAGGGTAATGCAGAGTGAGAAACGGGATGAAGGAGGTCACAAGAGACACACAGGGGATGAAGGGTTGAAGGGAGACACACACAGAGGATTGAAGTGGTAAGGCGACATGCACATAAGGATGAGAGATAAACAGGGGTGTGACTTTGTTAAGAAGAGACAACACAAGGAGTGATGGAGTCCAAAGATACTCAGAAGAGGTTGAAGAGAGACACCCAGGGGCTTTACTGAGAGATACATGTTAACTCATGAGGGAGTTCCAGCAGACAACTCAACCCCGGTACTAAATACTCTAGATTCACCATTTGCATGAACGACTCCTGAAATCGCATGATATCAATGAAAACTGTATCTCAATTTGTATCTTCGGAAGACATACTTCAGAAGTATTCCACAGGTAAGACATCCTTTCTCATACCCCATCAATGTTGTTCTTTTCTCAAAAAGGCAACTCTTTTTATATGACTACATTTCAGATTTTTGACTGATAATAAAAGTACTCACGTGGGATTGTAAGATTCCACCGATTTCTTTGACAGTAGGTCCACTTAGAAGTACCTGCTTCAAGGATACCAGCAGGGAGTCTGGAGGGAAGGTGATAATATGTGAGCATCATAATAGAGATTGATCAAGATTTCCTGTAGCACAGTATTTATAGTGTCCACCTGATAAACTATCCACATTGGATTGAATTACAATAGCCTACATTTTGTGTTATTCTAATGATAAATTATCACAGTGGCCTGCAGTTTACGGAGAAGATACCCCATTGCTAACACTGAGAGCTGAATACTCCTACCTAAGTAGCTCATAATTAGAATGTCCGTACGGCAGGTGGCTGACAAAGATAGGCTGCCCACTTAGTTATATAGGTTACAGACAGAAATGTAGGGTCAGCCAAGGGTCTAGCTGTGAAAGCTATTTAAATAATTCCTTTTGTCTCCCCAAATGGCTTGGTATTATTATATTTAATCTGTGGTGGACGATGTCATGAACAGTTAGCACTCCCTTGTGGTAAGTGAGGGTCCATTTGCTCAGTGACTTTAATTTTAATTCTTAACTTTAGGGCATTTGATCAGTTTTACTGCATACAATAAAAAATGTTCCATAACTTACTGTGGATAGCAATGAGCTGCGGAAGGTTAGGAAAGACAAGCTTCACTTCATCCGAAGACAGCAATGTCCCGTTTGTCAAGTTCTGGAAGTTTACCAGTACACGGAGAACACGAAGGTGGTTCTCTTCAGTCACAATGAATTCTAGAACAAAAATAAGAGAATGTATATAACATGATCAGTAATGCCTAAGAACCTTGATTTATAAACACAACGTGGAGGTTGTGGTCGTTACAGTGAATCCTATTTAACTGTTTCAGCACTAAACTTTTCATAGACACAGACAATATAGGAACATTGTGAGTGACAATTATCTGTGTTCACTAAACAATCATGTTACATACTGTCAGCTGAATAGAAGAGCTCAAGGTGGGCATTAATTATTTACTTAACTTCTATTTTTACATTAAAGGGATACTATAGAGCTAGGAATACAGAGCTGTATTCCTGGCACTGTAGCTCCCTCTGCCTCCCCCCTTTCTTACGCTCCCCCCGTGGTGGTAAATAAAGGGTTAAAACTCTTTATTTACTTACGTGACCCCAATGCCAATATGTCAATCGGAGCTAATACACATACGCGGTCAAGTGCCGCGTGCAATAGGCCTACAGTGTTCCTTTAAGCAACATATATCTATTTTTGTGTTGACTTCCCAGTAACTGAAACCTATTTCCCACATTTGGTAAAATAATGAAAATGGATTTTAAAAAAGAACAAATGTAATTAATTATTAAAGGAACACTATAGTCACCTAAGTTACTTTAGCTAAATAAAGCAGTTTTAGTGTATAGATCATTCCCCTGCAATTTCACTGCTCAGTTCACTGTCATTTAGGAGTTAAATCACTTTGTTTCTGTTTATGCAGCCCTAGCCACACCTCCCCTGGCTATGATTGACAGAGCCTGCATGAAAAAAAAAAACTGGTTTCACTTTCAAACAGATGTAATTTACCTTAAATAATTGTATCTCAATCTCTAAATTGAACTTTAATCACATACAGGAGGCTCTTGCAGGGTCTATCAAGCTATTAACATAGCAGGGGATAAGAAAATCTTAATTAAACAGAACTTGCAATAAAGAAAGCCTAAATAGGGCTCTCTTTATAGGAAGTGTTTATGGAAGGCTGTGCACGTCACATGCAGGGAGGTGTGACTAGGGTTCATAAACAAAGGGATTTACCTCCTAAATGGCAGAGGATTGAGCAGTGAGGCTGCAGGGGTATGTTCTATACACCAAAACTGCTTCATTAAGCTTAAGTTGTTCAGGTGACTATAGTGTCCCTTTAAGTGTTCTTGCATAGCAAGACCACTTAATGTTATCTCACATATATTATTATACAGGGCCTTTTGTACACCTGCTAATGTTTTTATAAATGTATGTTTTAACCCCTTCAGGACGGGTGACGGACGAGGTCCGTCACACAGGGGAGACCCTTAACGATGGGTGACGGACCTCGTCCGTCACGCGGTAAAATTAACCCCGGATCGCCGCTATCGCGGCGATCGCGGGGTTAATGGTGCTCCCGGTATGCCTCTGTATTGGAGGCATACCGGGAGCACCCGGTCAAGCTGCCCAGCACATGTGCTCGCTCTGACCACAAGTCAGAGCGAGCACATGTGCTCTGTATACTCACCTACCGGCTCCCTGCACTTCCGGGTTCTGTGTGAAGTGCAGGGAGCCGGATCAGTGCTGATCCTGCCCCCTGCTGTAAAAAAAAATAAAGTTTATTTAAAGTCCCCCCCCCCTTACCCATTTTAATAAAAAATTAACCCCTTCCCTGCCAATTGATCACTGACTACAGTGATCAATTGGCAGGGATTACATTTTACTATGATCTGATTTTTTTTTTAACCCCTGAGGGTTAATTCTTTTTTTTTTTAACCCTCAGGGGTTAAATTAATTAAATTAATTAATTAAATTATTTTTTAATTATATATTTAGCTAGCTGGGGTAGGTGGAAGTTAGTGGGGAATTGGGGGATTTGGCGTTAGGCTAACTAGGGGTTAACGTTAAAAAAAAGTTTTAAAAGAAACTTTAAAAAGTTAAAAATTAAGCTTAAAAAAATGTTTTAATAACATTTAAGTAATAAAAACAAAAAAAACACACTTTACCTAGTCCAAATAAAAATTAACCCCTTCCCTGCCAGTCGATCACTGCCTACAGCGATCAAATAGAGATCACAGTATTATACTGTGATCTAATTTTTTTTAACCCCTGAGGATTAACTTTTATTTATTTTTTTAACCCTCAGGGGTTCAATTTATTTAATTAATTAATTTAAATATTTTATAACTATATATTTTGCTAGCTGGGGTGGGTGGGAGTTATGGGAAAATGGGGAATTTACTGTTAGTGCTGCGTACTGCTAGTTAGGGGTTAACAGTAAAAAAAATAGCTTAGAAAAATGTTAAATCTGTAAAAAAGTTTTAAGAAAGTTTAGGAAAGTTTAAAAAAAATTTATAAGCAAAACAAAAGTTTAAAAACTAGTTTTTAAAAGTAAAAAAGTTATAAAAAGTAAAAAAATACATTTTAAAAACGCTCATTACCACTACACCTGGAACAAACTAGAGAAAAAATTATCCCACGCCAAGGTTCAAAATATGCCTTTTGAATTACCCCAGGGTGTATTCTTTAATAAATAGTATGTGTTTGTGGGGAAGTCTCAATAACCAACCGTCTAAACTATTCCAAATTGGAACATGGACACAGCGTAAAACTTCAAAGTTAGAAAAAAACTGAATGGCTGCGTCTCAAATGCGCCCCTTCAACATCCACATATACCTGGCAAAGGTACATACGGGGGTATTGCTGTACTCAGCCGACATAGCTGAGCAACATATGAAGTATTATACAGTCATAGTACACATAAGGTTTGCAAAATATGCTGCGCAAACTCACTTTGTATGTCAAAAAGGCAGAAAAAATGCTTATTACCACTACACTTGGTACAAGCTAGCGGAAAAATGATCCCACACTAAGGTTCAAAATATGCCTTTTGAAATACCCTGGGATGTCTTCTTTAAGAAATGGTATGGCTTTATGGGGAATTTGGATTATATAGCCTGGTAAAATACTCTAAAATGGGACATAGGCACAGCATAAAAATTCAAAGTTTGAAAAAAACTGGAATGGCTGTGTCCCAAATGTGCCCCTCCGATGTCCACACATACCTGGCAAAGGTACATACGGGGGTATTGCTGTACTCAGCCGACATAGCTGAGCAACATATGAAGTATTATACAGTCGTAGCACACATAAGGTTTGCAAAATATACTGTGCAAACTCACTTTGTATGTCAAAAAGGCAGAAAAAATGCTTATTACCACTACACTTGGTACAAGCTAGCGGAAAAATGATCCCACGCTGAGGTTCAAAATATGCCTTTTTGAAATACCCTGGGATGTCTTCTTTAAGAAATGGTATGGCTTTATGGGGAATTTGGATTATATAGCCTGGTAAAATACTCTAAAATGGGACATAGGCACAGCATAAAAATTCAAAGTTTGAAAAAAACTGGAATGGCTGTGTCCCAAATGTGCCCCTCCGATGTCCACACATACCTGGCAAAGGTACATACGGGGGTATTGCTGTACTCAGCCGACATAGCTGAGCAACATATGAAGTATTATACAGTCGTAGCACACATAAGGTTTGCAAAATATACTGTGCAAACTCACTTTGTATGTCAAAAAGGCAGAAAAAACGCTTATTACCACTACATCTGGTACAAGCTAGCGGAAAAATGATCCCACGCTAAGGTTCAAACTATACCTTTTGAAACACCCTGGGGTGTCTACTTTAAGAAATGGTAGGCCTTTGTGGGGTAGATTGAATTTAAAACCTGCGAAGATGCTTGGAAATTGCACATAGGCCCAGCGTCAAAATTCAAAGTTTGGTAAAAACGGATATGGCTTGGTCTCCTATATGGCACTGTAGCTTCACAAAATAGTGACAAAGACATTCATTGGGGGTGTATTTTTACTCAAAAGACTTAGCTGAGCATAATTTGGGAGGTTTGAACTTAGTGGCACATATGAAATATACAAAACGCCCAGCAAAAATGCAATCCGTATGTAAAAAATGCACAAAATAATTTTTTACCACATACTTTGGCATATATTGGTGAAAAAATGGGGGTATGTTAAGGCACAATATGCACCTTATGAGATACCCTGGAGTGTCTACTTTTACAAATGGTAGGCCTTTGTGGGGGTTTTTTGAACAGTCAAACTGTTATAATACCCCAAATGGAAGCCAAGGCTCATTAAATCCATCTCTCAAAATTCTACTGTGAATACTGTAAAGGACAGGTCTCCTATATGGCACTGTAGCTTCACGAAATAGTGCCAAAGACATTCATATGGGGTGTCATTTTACTCAGAAGACTTAGCTGAGCATAATTTGGGGGGTTTGAACTTAGTGGCACATATGAAATATACAAAACGCCCAGCAAAAATGCAATCCGTATGTAAAAAATGCACAAATTTTTTTTTACCACATACTTTGGCATATATTGGTGAAAAAATGGGGGCATGTTAAGGCACAATATGCACCTTATAAGATACCCTGGAGTGTCTACTTTTACAAATGGTAGGCCTTTGTGGGGGTTTTTTGAACAGTCAAACTGTTATAATACCCCAAATGGAAGCTAAGGCTCATTAAATTCATCTCTCAAAATTCTACTGTGAATACTGAAAAGGACAGGTATCCTGTATGGCACTGTAACTTCACGAAATAGTGCAAAAGACATACAATGGGGTGTCATTTTACTCAGCAGATGTAACTGAACACAAAATAAAACTTTGTACAGGAATAGCACACACCAACTTTACAAAATATACACGAGAATTTCTCTGTTATAAGTTTGTGTGCCAAAAACCAAAAAGAACACAATTTTACTCCAATATTTAGCAGAGGTTGGCGGTGAAATGGCTACGTAGAAAGTGTCAAAACAACCTTAGGTAAATAGCCCGTGATGTCTACTTTATATAAATATATACTTTTGTGTGGCAATTTTGTTTTCTTTTATGGCTATTAAGCTTACAAGACAAACATACCAAATTCTAAAATCGCTCCACATTAAAAGTTTATTTTACTCCTTGTGCTTTGTGACCTGTAACTACCAAAAAAAACTTAAAATCCCAGACACATTATATATTCTGTAAATCAGAACAAATAAATAAATTTATTTTTAATTACTTTCCTTAACCTGCACTAATTATGCACACATTATTATTGCAAAAACTGTAAAAAAAAACAATATTTTTCATTTTTTTTGCATTTTTCTGTATTTTTTTTATAATAAGTAAGCATTTATATATATATATGTTATATCAAATTAAAGCCCTTTCTGTCCTTTAAAAAACAGTATATAATATGTGTCGGTGCAATAAATGAGAGAGATGCAAATTGCAGTTGAACGCAAACAGCAAGAAAATGCAAAAATTGCTTGTGTCATTAAGCGTAAGTCAAGCTTCTGAAGCTGTGTCCTTAAGGGGTTAATGTAACTGTGAAGCACTTTGGGCAACAACATTGCAATTAAATGTGCTATATAAATAAATAATAACTGTTACTCCGCCCACTCAGTTGTAGACTACTGGTGGAGGCAAGAACACTCCACACAATTTCCCCAGAAATTTTATCTTTTCTAGTTTATTATGTAATTAATTTGCCAATTGCTCTATTGTCCCAGAATTCTCATATCAAATTCAGGGGGGAATGGGCTTTGGTGGGGGAACTTGGGCTGAAGAGGGAGGCAGAAGAGCTGTAATAAAATAGAATATTGTCCCTCGTATAAGGTAAAAATAAATGACAAGTATGAATAAGCAGGACATGGGCAGAGCAGGTATGAAAATAAATGGTGTTTGTAGTTCACTGTTTGCAGTTCACTTGCACAAAGATTGCATAATGTGGCACTCTGTACAGTTTAGTAACATCAGGCATAGTTTGTCACCTTGGTGCCCACAAGCAATCTCCTGGATTTGTTATAAAGGAAATATCTGGAGATATGGGAGAGAATTAAAATGCTCAGATACACACACATCACACTTTATTATTGGTGAAGAATCATTTTAACACTTACCGTGTATCATCTCCTGTCTCAGAATTTCGTGTGGTTGTAACAGAGTAACGACATCCTTACCCACGGTCTCTGACCAGGTCAGATCAGTCCTGAAAGTGAACAGGTGGCATTAGGATTCAAAATTTATATCTACAAAATTGACAGTTTTCAAGACAGATTCTCAGTGCACTAGCAGGCATGATGGCACGATTGTAGGATGGTTTGTGCTAGAGTGATGAATATGGCCAATTTTCTTGACTTCAGTATTAAAGCTTTCAAAGGATGAACAGCAGTTATACCAGCTCTAAACGTAAATACATTTCTTTCACAATGTGCCAGAAACGGAATTTGAAAAGAGAGGTTTGGTTTTTTTAAGAGATTAACATCTGAATTGTAGGATGCTACAATTCAGTCCTTTATAACGAATCCATGACTATTGGCAATATGCTGGATTCTGTCCTGGATTCAGTCCTTTATAACGAATCCATGACTATTGGCAACATGAGTAATTATGTACGAAAATTAAAGAAATAGTCCAGATTGCATTTTAGTAAATTAAAATGTAATATTACGACATGCAATATTGCTTATTTAGGGCACAAAATCTTAAAATGAATGCACATGACTTGAATACACTTTTGGTGACACGTTTATTAGAAGAAAGCAATATCCGGTAGACCTATGGAATTGACAGTGGTTATAACCACTCTACAAGACTTTGCAAAGATTAAAATGGCTGTGCTGGGGAACCTACCTATTATAGAAAGACATACATTAAATCTACACATATTTAATAAGGAATGTAGAGAGATCTGCTCTATAATACATATAAATATACACTGAAACCCTACATAAGTCACAGGCTGGAAAAGAGGCTGGATAAAAATATATAATTTACAGAAAGAGATGTGGATGCATGATATGGTGAATCAGCAGAGATGGTAAATATGTTTACAGTGAATGGTTACAGGGGGCCTGAGACAGACACATATGAGATTCTTCTCTAACATTCAGTTATTGCTCTTACATTGAATGGCAAACTTTTTGGCAATAAAAGTGGATTTGAAAAATAAAATGTAACTTTTTTTGTAACAATCTCCTGTTCTGGACTTAAAAACTAATATCTACAAGAGCAAAGTAATACTAACATACTTTCTTGGATCCCCTTAGATCTTTGCATAGATTTAATATTCAAATTATTTAATATATTCAGAATTTAGTATTGTGTAAAATATTTAAATGTTATAATACTTTTTTAGTTTTTGATTATGGATATATTTTTTTATATAGAAGATATTTTGTGATTTTTTTATATTTAAAAAAAATAAACTTATCTAAAAAGATTAAATAATTCGAAACGCTTAACCAACAATATTAAATTGAGGCCTATATATCTGTCCTTTTTAAACCTATCCAATCTATGTAAATGACTATTATATGTGGCATTGCCATTTTAAACAAAGCACTTTCACACCCTAAAATCCAGTTTCTAACCCTCTGGCACAAGCTCCCAGTGGATTGCTTTTGAAATGGCTATGGAGTAATTGAATGCTTATTTAATACCCTACTTACTTTTTCGACGTTTTGGAAAATTTGGGAGCCATCAGTGATTGGTTCTGTATCCAATCACCTACAGCTACAAGATAAGAGGAATGCCCACGAGGAGCTGTCCTCCTAAGTCTTCTTGTGTTTGTTTAATGTGTCAAAGAGCCTTGGCGAAACAGGCTAAAGGATTAGTCCAACAATAAGGAGCTAAACCGAATCTATCACACCAGCCAAGGGAAGCGATCAGTGCTGCTCTGTGCTGAGCAGTAGACACTGACTGGCATGAAACATCACATCATAGTCTTAGTTAAGGTGTCATTTGATTATGACATTTAATGACATCAATGAACCTATGTAACTTTTTCTGTCCAGGCTCTGGCTATGTCAGTTGATTATGAGCATCCATAAAATTCCAGTTCAATGAAAATGAAGGTACCAATTTTAAAGGGACAGTAACATAATTTACCATCCAATTTACCTTAAATATAAGGTTTTTTCAGGATTTAAAAAAAATATATTTCTATTAAAATAAAACAGGGAAAACAATCCATAAAATTTCTATTTCGAACAAATAGCTAGTAACAGTATCATGAGTTACCACAACTGATCCTTATAACACGCCTTATTATGGCTCTTAATATTATATATAGGGCTCTGAATTCCACCTATAATGCATTATGTATATTATATATAGAGCACTGAATTCCACCTATAATGCATTATGTATATTATATATAGGGCTCTGAATTCCACCTGTAATGCATTATGTATATTATATATAGGGCTCTGAATTCCACATATAATGCATTATGTATATTATATATAGGGCTATGAATTCCACATATAATGCAGTATGTATATTATATATAGGGCTCTGAATTCCACATATAATGCATTATGTATATTATATATAGGGCTCTGAATTCCACATATAATGTATTATGTATATTATATATAGAGCACTGAATTCCACCTGTAATGCATTATGTATATTATATATAGGGCTCTGAATTCCACATATAATGCATTATGTATATTATATATAGGGCTCTGAATTCCACATATAATGCATTATGTATATTATATATAGAGCACTGAATTCCACCTATAATGCATTATGTATATTATATATAGGGCTCTGAATTCCACCTATAATGCATTATGTATATTATATATAGGGCTCTGAATTCCACCTATAATGTATTATGTATATTATATATAGAGCTCTGAATTCCACCTATAATGTATTATGTATATTATATATAGGGCTCTGAATTCCACTTACAATGTATTATGTATATTATATATATTGCTCTGAATTCCACCTACAATGTATTATGTATATTATGTATAGGGCTCAGAATACCACCTATAATGGATTATGTATATTATATATAGAGCACTGAATTCCACGTATAATGCGTTATGTATATTATATATAGAGCTCTGAATTCCACATATAATGCATTATGTATATTATATATAGGGCTCTGAATTCCACATATAATGCATTATGTATATTATATATAGAGCTCTGAATTCCATGTATAATGCATTATGTATATTATATATAGGGCTCTGAATTCCACATATAATGTATTATGTATATTATATATAGGGCTCTGAATTCCACATATAATGCATTATGTATATTATATATAGAGCTCTGAATTCCACTTACAATGTATTATGTATATTATATATGGAGCTCTGAATTCCACGTATAATGCATTATGTATATTTTATATAGAGCTCTGAATTTCACGTATAATGTATTATGTATATTATATATAGAGCTCTGAATTCCACCTATAATGCATTATGTATATTATATATAGAGCTCTGAATTCCACATATAATGCATTATGTATATTATATATAGAGCTCTGAATTCCACATATAATGCATTATGTATATTATATATAGAACTCTGAATTCCACCTATAATGCATTATGTATATTATATATAGAGCACTGAATTCCACGTATAATGTGTTATGTATATTATATATAGAGCTCTGAATTCCACATATAATGCATTATGTATATTATATATAGGGCACTGAATTCCACGTATAATGCGTTATGTATATTATATAGGGCTCTGAATTCCATGTATAATGCACTATGTATATTATATATAGGGCTCTGAATTCCACCTTTAATGCATTATGTATATTATATATAGAGCTCTGAATTCCACATATAATGCATTATGTATATTATATATAGGGCTCTGAATTCCACGTATAATGCATTATGTATATTATATATAGAGCACTGAATTCCACGTATAATGCACTATGTATATTATATATAGGGCTCTGAATTCCACGTATAATGTATTATCTATATTATATATAGGGCTCTGAATTCCACATATAATGTGTTATGTATATTATATATAGAGCTCTGAATTCCACGTATAATGCGTTATGTATATTATATATAGGGCTCTGAATTCCACGTATAATGCATTATGTATATTATATATAGAGCACTGAATTCCACGTATAATGCACTATGTATATTATATATAGGGCTCTGAATTCCACCTATAATGTATTATGCATATTATATATAGGGCTCTGAATTCCACCTATAATGCATTATGTATATTATATGTAGGGCTCTGAATTCCACCTATAATGCATTATGTATATTATATATAAGGCTCTGAATTCCACCTATAATGCATTATGTATATTATATATAGGGCTCTGAATTCCACCTATAATGCATTATGTATATTATATATAGGGCTCTGAATTCCACCTATAATGCATTATGTATATTTTATATAGAGCTCTGAATTCCACCTATAATGCATTATGTATATTATATATAGAGCACTGAATTCCACGTATAATGCGTTATGTATATTATATATAGAGCTCTGAATTCCTCGTATAGTGCGTTATGTATATTATATAGAGAGCTCTGAATTCCACCTATAATGCATTATGTATATTATATATAGGGCTCTGAATTCCACAAATAATGCATTATGTATATTATATATAGAGCACTGAATTCCACGTATAATGCACTATGTATATTATATATAGGGGCTCTGAATTCCACATATAATGTATTATGTATATTACATATAGAGCTCTGAATTCCACATATAATGTATTATGTATATTAAATATAGGGCTCTGAATTCCACATATAATGCATTATGTATATTATATATAGAGCACTGAATTCCACGTATAATGCACTATGTATATTATATATAGGGCTCTGAATTCTACCTATAATGCATTATGTATATTATATATAGGGCTCTGAATTCCACCTATAATACATTATGTATATTATATATAGGGTTCTGAATTCCACGTATAATGTATTATCTATATTATATATAGGTCTCTGAATTCCACATATAATGTATTATGTATATTATATATAGAGCTCTGAATTCCACCTATAATGTATTATGTATATTATATATAGGGCTCTGAATTCCACATATAATGTATTATGTATATTATATATAGGGCTCTGAATTCCACCTATAATGCATGACTGCTGACCCCAGACCAAACTCCCACCACCCGTTGCCCAATAAATACACAACACCTTCTTTATGGGTAAGGGCAACGGCCACAGCTTTATTAACAGAATTAACATCGATTATCACCAGCGTCCACAACCTGTCAGCTGTTGGGGGATTACCAACAGACAGCTCTATCAAAAGACCCACGAGTCCAATGCAGCCTGCCCCCGCCATCAGCTCTCAGCAGGCTGTGACTCCCCAAGCCGCTTGGGCACTTTCTTCCAAACCTCTTCGCTGGCCAGGACTACCGCGAGCTGTGACAAAACAAAGAAACAACAGCACACAACCAACAACAACACCATCATAACACACGTTTTGTGGGTGGGTGGGCGGGAAGCTAGCAACACTACACCTCTGCCCAGGAACTGGTGAGTACCCTCCCCTTTTTCCCCATCTTAATGTCCCCCCATGTGTAACAATGTATCCCCTTGTGACCCAACCCCTTATCCCTGCCAGCAGTCATGTCCTCCCTTCCTTAATGTCCAGGGAGGTACTTGACTGCTGACCCCAGACCAAACTCCCACCACCCGTTGCCCAATAAATACACAACACCTTCTTTATGGGTAAGGGCAACGGCCACAGCTTTATTAACAGAATTAACATCGATTATCACCAGCGTCCACAACCTGTCAGCTGTTGGGGATTACCAACAGACAGCTCTATCAAATGACCCACGAGTCCAATGCAGCCTGCCCCCGCCATCAGCTCTCAGCAGGCTGCGACTCCCCAAGCCGCTTGGGCACTTTCTTCCAAACCTCTTCGCTGGCCAGGACTACCGCCACCGCGGTTCCTTCCTACCTACTCCCCTGGGAGGGACCGCGCCCCCCCGCAGCCAGCGCCTCCTCAATACCTGCCTGAAGACCCGCATTCAGGATATCCAATCCTATGAGGGAAAGGTGCACCCCATCCTTCCGCATCAAGTCGGAATTGTCCCCTTCCAGCTCCCTGTGCCTAATGACAAAACCACCAATCCGGCGGACAAATTTTCCGATGGTCACGTTGAGCCTGCGCCTACTACACTCCACGCCCTTAGCATGCGGCAGCGAACGCCAACGCGGCCTGGACACTATGTCCGACCAGATCAGGGTCAACTCGGGGAAAAGAGCCATACACCGAGCCAGATCGTGTCTAATCGCATACAGGAGGTCCACTGACCTACTGCGCCCCAGGTCATTTCCCCCTGCATGAATTACTAGGGTTACTGGCCCCGACACGTACCTACGAAGGGATACGCACTCCGAATACAGCTGCTGCCACAACATACCCCTAATGCCCCTCCACCTTACCCTGGCTATCTCGTAGGAAAAACCCAAATTCCTCCCGTATGGACGCTCCTCAGCTCGCCGCGCAGCCCAATAAACGTAGGAATGTCCCAGTATCCAAATGCAGCGGGGCCGAGGACCTACGGAGAGATTGCATTATAGTAAATGAGGTCTGACATAGGACCTGTAGCGCCGTGAACCCCATCTACCCAAGCGCTGAATCGCTGCG